GAGGGAGAGGGAGAGAGGGGGAGGGGGAGAGGGAGAGGGAGAGGGAGGGGGAGAGGGAGAGGGAGGGGGAGAATAAAGTGAGACTAGACTAGACAACCTCAAAGCCTCCCTGAGTTATGTAACTGCTGTATCAAGACTCTCCTTATGAGGACATTTATCATTCAACCCATAACATTAAATTTAAAACATACTTTTTTTTAAAGTAGTTTAGCTACAGATACCCTTCATGAGTAGACAATGCTTTCTCTCAGAAGACATGAAAATCTCAGTACCAGATGGTAGATACCTCCTTAAAGTTACGGGTCAAAGAAGCACTAGAGAACCCCTCCATAAAAACATGGGCTATCACCATTTCTCTTGATTGTCCACTGTGCTGGTTTGCTTTATATTGCTACAATAAACAGTATGACCAAAAACAACTTTAGGAGAAAAGAGTTTATTTCATCATGGCTTAAAGTCCATCCTCAAGAGGTTTCAAGACAGAAACATGGTGGCAGGAATTCAATTAGAGGCTATGCAGGACTATTACTTACTGGCTTGCTCTCTGTGGCCTCACTTGGCTTGCTTTTTATACAGGGTTGGTACCAGCCAAAGTGGGTCGGGCCCTCCAAAATCAATCATTACTCAAGAAAATGCCCCCACGAACTGGCCTATGGGGTAATCTGGTGATGGCATTATCTGAATTTTACCTATTCTTCCCAGATGACTGGAGTTTGTATAAAGGTGACAAAAAATAATAATAACCATCATGCCCACCATATCTTCATAGGGCTATACCATTGCTGAAGACACAACACACTTCGGCTGCAGAGCAGAAAGAAATCAAGCTGTAAATGACTTGATAACTTCCTTCCTGCTGCCTGTGAAGATTGCTGGGGGAGAAAAGACATCTGTTAGTATGTATGTATGGCCCAACAATGAACCTTGAATGCTACAATATCAACTTGCCAGTAAAAAGTGTCCGTGGTGCAACAGTGGCATGAAGATTTGGGGGTAACCAACAATTTTCTAACTAAATTTGAGACTTGCTTCACAACAGAGAGTTCCTGCTTGTTATTTTAAACCTGGTCACAGCCCCAAGGGGTAGGTAATCTACTACTTTTGTTTAACTAGATGGACATGTCAAACTTCCTTCTAAATATTTATGTTTACATCCATAAATTGGTGCTGCTCTTAGCCTTGACAAAAGCACTTTCTGCAATAGTCAAAGATAAATATTAATAAAGATACCATTAGCTGGTCAAAGTGATGAGAGTCCTCATCCCTAAATATGACATCTATATCAACTGCTGCCCAAGGCACAGGGAACATCTAAGAGGAGGGAGCAGAAAGAGTGTAAGAGCCAGAAGACAAGGGAAAGTGCTATGTCTTCTGGACATGACCTGGCCATTGCACTTGTGAAATCACTGAATTTATGGTCACCTGCACAAGATCTAGTCACCATCAGTCACTGTTCCAGCAGACAGCACCGACTGGCGGAGAAGGTAACCAAATAAAAGAAGAAGACATGAAGATAGGAGGAAAATGTGTCAGGCATTGGGGGGGGGACAAAAATGGGGGAATGGAATGGATATGATTAATATACATTGTGTACATGCTCGCAATTATCAAAAGTAAAGATTTTTAAAATAGTATATAATAAGTGTCTGGCAAGGTAAGACATACCTTTAATTCCAACACTTTGGAGACAGAGGCATGTGTATCTCTATAAGTTCAAGGCCAGTATGGTCTACATAGCAAGTTCTAGTCCAAAGATGGCTACATAGTGAGACTCTGTCTCAAAAGCACAAATAAATAAAAGAGAAGCCAAGATAGCCCCAAATTTAGCTATCCTGAGCTTTATACAGCTGTCATTGTCATATAATACACAGTAGTTTATTATTTATTGTACTTTAGTCATCTGGCCTTCAAAATAGAAGGAGTGCTTAACAGAAATAGCTTTAAAGAATAAAAGATGGCTAAGGTTTAAGAGCGTTGGTTGCTCTTTCAGAAGACCCAAGTCTGATTCCCGGAGCCCACATGGCATCTTACGACCATCTGTAACTCCAGTTCCAAAGGATCCTATGCCCTATTCTGGCCTCAGCCAGCACGAGGCACAGAAGTAACAGACATGTGGAGGCAAAATACTCATACACATAAAAATAATAAAAGTTTACATTCTAAAAAAGAAATTCATTCTCAGTAAAAAGTTTCTTCAAAATGTCTCAGTCCAATTGATGCTAACTTTCTAGGTATTTTAGGATGTTCATTTACTTAAAATATAAAGTGGAGCCGGGCAGTGGTGGCACATGCCTTTAATCCCAGCACTTGGGAGGCAGAGGCAGGCAGATTTCTGAGTTCGAGAGTTCGAGGCTAGCCTGGTCTACAGAGTGAGTTCCAGGACAGCCAGGGCTACACAGAGAAACCCTGTCTCAAAAAACAAAAAATAAATAAATAAAAATAAAGTGGAAGAATCTATTTCAAAACAATTTTTAAGGTTGCTCCCCCTGTCCCCAGGTTTGTGTGCAGGCAGCAGGTGCCTGGGGAGCACTGTGCACTGGCTGCGCAGAAGTACGTGGCTGAGTCCTCAAGACGAGCAGCTGTAATGTTCAGATAAAGAATTTTGTCTTTCTTATTCAGTAAGACAGTGAGTCCTTGTTCTTCTTTTCTGTCCACATTTGAAAGAACACTCATAAGCAACTGGAGACCTGTCCCCGGCTCTTGCTTGTACCAGAAGAAGTAAGCAGTGGCACTGTCTGTGTAGGTGCAGATGATAACGGCGCTGTCTCCCTCCCGGACACTCAGGTGAGGAGGGCGCTGCTCCACCTGCTCTCCTCTGCTCACACCTGTGCCAAAGGAAACAGCAGAAGACCATCAGGCTGCCATTCTCCAGACATTGCTTTCCTTCCTACCATGATTTCAGGCAATCTGGACAAGGCCAGTCTGCTCCACAGACTGATAATGAACACCGACAAACACCTTGTTCCCCAAAAGCTCTCACTCACAGTTCAGCTGCAGCCACAAGCACAGGAACAAAGGTCCAGTCACTGTCTTCATTGCTCTCCCTCCAGACTGTGGCCTTCAGACAGACAGGATACTTCTGTGATCAGCGCACCTCCTCTGTCCTCCACAACACTGAGGCTTCCACAGTGTCTGCACAAAGTGTTACTGACTGCAGGCTGCTCTTACAGCAGGCAAGCAAAAAGTCTCTTTGTGAGTTTGTAGGAGCGGGGATGCTCTGCCCCCTTGTGGACGGCTCCCGCCTGCTGCACCAGCTGCTCCAGTCCTCTCTGATCCTGTACCTCCAGGACATTCAGACCCACTAAATAGTAAGTCAATGAAGTAAGTTTCAAGTGTGTCTAATATCAAAATTGGCATCATGTAACAGAGAGCAAACATAGTGAAAAGATAGAGTACAGACTTGCATTCTGTGTTCTCTGCACACTGCCAAGATCTTTCAGGAAAGCTGGGAGTTTCCCATGCTTACTGAACAACAGGATTAACCTGTTTGAAGTCAGGGAACTGGTATCATTTAGTCTGCTAACCAAATGAAAGTAAAAGTCTTCTTCCTCATCCTTCTACTTTTAGACTGTAACAATAGCAACCAGCTGGGTATCAGATCATCTTTATTCAGCTCTTACAGAGGAAAACATCACCTATGGAAAGAATGTAAGCACAAATATTGAACAAAGGGACAGAGACTTATAAAGTATGTCATACATGTGTTATTGCAGGCTTTGCTCCTTCAATTTCTGGCGTTTTCCCAGTCCCAATAAATAGGCAGTGTTGTGGAATATCCTTTAATAAAAGTGGCAGTAAGCAGAACTCCTACGTGGTCTCTGAATCAGGTCCTGCCGTGAGCTCCTACAATGAAGGACTACATATGACCTTGAACTTGAGCTGAAATAAACTTTTTCCTCCCATGACTAGCTTCTGGTCATGCCATTTATCACAGCAATAGAACACAAATACAGTTGCAAGTGTTAATAACAATAGCTCCCTCCAACCAGAAAGTTAGCCACTAGAATATGATGAGAAAGCTAACATGGCTTTGAAGTCATTCCTCATGAAGGACAAATTTTTTAAGTCTGGTAGTTTGAACATCCCTGAATAGCCTGAAGCATTTGAATGCTTGATCTCTGGTTGGTGGCTAATTTGAAAGACTTATGGTGGGTGGGGAGGTGACTTTTCTGGAGGAAATATGTCTCTGCTGGCAGGCTTTGAGGTTTCAAAATATTATGAGGATCCCACAAAAGATGAGACACAGTTTGTAGCCAATTCAAAGTCTTTATTCCAGCCATCTGAGACTATTCTCAGGTGTTCGTATCCTATGGAGTGTCTAGAGCACAGGATTTTTTGAAAACAGAAACTGTGTCCTGGCATCTTGCTCAGCAGCTACAAGGGGGTTTGTCAGAAGCAAGCAGTTTAACATAAGCTAAGTAGTTATCTGAAGGGGGTTTTGTGCAATCAGATATTTTAACAGATGAGTTAGCTAGGACATTTTGATATTGAGTTCCTAGAATAAAGCTAGATAATTTCCACAGGATTCTCCATCAAGATCCAATTCTAGTTAAACTTGAAATAGCCTGAGCAGGAATACAAGGTGTAGGAACCTCTGTAGCCTTGTCCTCTCACAAAAATTCATGTAACATCTCCAGTTTGTCCTCTGTTTCATGTGTGGCATTCAAGATGTGAACTCTCAGCTTCCATTTCAACTGCCTACTGCCTGGTACCTCCACTCTGCCAACATAGGATCCTCTGAACTGTAAGCTCCAAAGGAACTCTTCCTTCTGTAAGTTACCTTGGCCATGGTGTTTTATCACAGTAATAGAGAAATCATTAATGAACTGAGATTATGGATATGTGGCGTACTTTTTTATAAAGATGACATAAAATATTAGGCTAAGGATTGATAGGCTATAAACAAATACATGTTTCTTCCAGCAGAGTGAGTGTGTGTGTGTGTGTGTGTGTGTGTGTGTGTGTGTGTGTGTGAAAGCAGGTGGTTTGTCCTTTAATAGGATTAACTATTAATAGTCTGGGAAGGTCTATTACAAAGATTCCCCCTACTGATGACTGGTTCTCTACCAATTCAGAATTCAAACCTATAACCATAGTCCTATTTTTACTGAGGTTTCAAAATTGCTACTTCAATGTCCTTTCAGTGTGTTGGTTCACAGATAGGAGACTAAACACGAGGGTGAGTATTCTTAAAAACAAGGCCATACCTCCTAATCCTTCCCACAACACCTCCAGCTAACTGAGAACTAACTATAACCGAGAACCAAGCATTCAAATATATGAGCCTATGGAGCCCATTCTCATTCAAACCTCCATAAGGATTGATAAAATTTTTACTTAAAAAAAAAAACTAAATTAGAAGTGGAGGTTGGGGGGTGGTTGTAATTCCAGTACTTGAAAGGCAAAGTCACAAGGATAGTCACAAGTTCGAGGCCAGCCCCATTTACATAGCAAGTTCTAGGCAAAAATAAAAAAAAATGGAGAGAGGCAGGGGTGGAGGGTGATGAAAACAGAAAATGAAGGAGAAGGATGAAAATATAATTAAGTCAGGCAGGAGGAACAGGCATAAGAGAAAGGAAACAGAGAGAAAGAAGTGAAAAGGGGAGGGAGGGTGGGAGGGAGGGAGGAAGGATGGCAGGGAGGAAAAGAGAAAGAAAAAAAATAAAACACAGGCTCATCCTGTATGGCTTCCTAAGAGTAAAGCCTTATCCTTAAACCTTAATCACAGTGCTTATACTTCTACTACTTAGTATATGAATAATGTGATACATAATTATAACCTAAACTCAGGTCTGTGAGAGAGAGCCGGAACACAGCTCAGCTGTCTTTAGCATTGCTGTTTAACTTTCCTCTGACTCCTACTTTAAATTTGAGTGAATCTCATAGTTCAAAGGTACAATTTCAAATTATCAAAAAGTTGCATACTGGTTAGTCATAGTGGCTCGTATCTGTCACACTGGCACACAGGAGACTAAGGCAGAAGGGATGGAGTGGAAAGTTGTCCTGGGTTACATAGCAAGTTCCAGACCAGCCTGCATAGTAAGATGCTATCTCAAAAAGGAGGGAGGGAGGGAAAGAGGGAAGGAGGGAGGGAGAGAAGGAAGGAGGGAGGGTGTGGGGGAAGGGGGGGGGGGGGGGGGGGGGGGGGGGAGGGGGGGGGGGGGGCGGGAAGGAAGAGGAAAGAAAGGAGGGAGAGAGGAAGGAAGGAAAAGGGGATAAAGGAGGGAGGAAAGGACAGGGAAAGAAAAGAGAGAGGCAAAAAACATGGTCAAGAGGATATCCTGGGTGAGGAAACCCAGACCCAGAAATATTATGCACTCACATATAAGTGGATATTAACCGTAAAGTAAAGGATAATCATACCACAAACCCCAGACCTAAAGAAGTAAAGTAACAAGGAAGGCTCCATGGGGGATGCATAGCTCTCCTAGAGGAGAAATAGAATCTATACTTCAGATAGACTAGTGGTGGGTGGAGACAGGAACAGGAGAGATCAGGTTGGGGGAGTGAGGAGGGAGAGTATTGGGAGACAACTGGAATTGAAAGGCAATTCGGGGTTGGGTAGAAACCTAGAGAAATGGAAACTCCCAGGAAACTATTAGGACGACCGTAGTTAAGACTCCTAGCTATGGGGCATACAGATCCTGAAACAGTCTTCTCCTACCACTATGCAAGACTTCTAATGGAGGGATAGGGACATCAACCCAGCTACAAAACTCTCAACCTACAATTTGTCCTGTCAGCATGATGTACTGGGGTAAGGGTGGCACAGCACTTGTGGGAGTGGCTGAACAATAACTAGTCCAGCTTGAGACCCATGCCATGAGGAGCCCACCCATGACACTGCCTGGAGGACCAGAAACCAGAAGCCAGATGGCCCAAGGGCCTAACATAGAACCAAAACTTGCCAGACAAAAAAGAAAAAAGGTAAAGAAATTATTCCTAATGATATTGATATTCTACTATACTCATAGAGAGAAGCCTGGCACAATCACCATCAGAGAGGCTCCATCCAGCAACTGATGGAAACAGATGCTGAGACCTAAAGCCAAACATTAGGCAGAACTCAGTGAATCCCGGGGAAGAAGAGGAAGAAGGATTTTAGGAGTTTGAGGGTGATGGACAAGAAAACCCACAGAATCCACAAACCTGGATTTATAGGGGCTCATCGAGCCTGAACTGACAATCAGATAGCCTGCATAGGTCTAACCTAGGCCTTCTGCATATATGTTATAGTTCTGTAGCTTATGTTTATGTGGGACTCGTAACAGAGGGAGCAGGGACTGTTCCTGACACTTTTGCCTGCTTTGGGGACTTTTATCCTCCTACTGGGGACACCTCATCCAGGCTTCATATGAGGGGTAATGCCTAGTCTGATTGCAACTTCATATGCCATATTTGATAGACATCTCTTGGAGGCCTGTCTTTTTCTGAGAGGAAATGGAGAAGTGGATGGGGGGAGGGGAGGGGGACGGACTAGAAGGAGGGAAGGGAAACTGTAATCAGAATGTAATATTCAAGAAAATAAATTAATTTTAAAAAATCAAAAAAGTAAATCTCGGTTCACATATTGTTACATCATTATATATTGTCCAGCAGGACATTAAACAGGGGTCCGGGGAGGTCACCTGAAAGAGAACGGGGGGAGCAGGCAAAGACGAAAGGAATGACGACCTGTCTATAATCCGATCATATTGTAATTTTTACTTTTTTTACACAGGGGTTATATACACAAAAAGGCAGGATGTGGGGAAGGGGATGGCGCAAGAGCATAGGTGTTCAAGGGGAGTACAGATATCTTCCAGAACAGAGTGTCAGCTGGGTGAAGGTTCAGGAGACAGATCACTATGACTCTGACTATGATTCACTTATCTTTATCTAAGTTGGTACTATCCACCAAGGTTATCCATCTACAAGGCCTTATGACTAGACTTGGCAGCCTTCCACCAAAGCTGCTTGTTTACAATAGCTTCTAGTCATCTGTTTCAGTGTTTTTCCACAGAGACCCAAGACTTGGTGCTAACAGGCATGTATGTCAGGCCTATTGCTGATTTTAGGCCTATGGCTGATTTTAGGCCTTTAGTGTATAAGCAGGGCT